GAAGATTGTCTCTTCTGTGTAGTACCAGATTCAAGAATAATCCAGCATAGTGACAAAGGAACCTGTTTCCCACCAGCCATCATCATCAGAATGGATATCACCCTCATGGCAGACATCACTGCCAGACCCATGTCGTGTGGCTTCTGGACCCACCAAGCATGTACGACAACTGTTACACTGAATTTTATCCCAGCTCCCTTAGGTTTTGAATCAGTCTGTATTCCCAGATGCCTAAAAGGCAGATAAAAAGTAGATCTTCTTTACAAGAAAAAGTGATAGCTTGTTAAATATTAAATAAAAAAACAAAAATCAAGAAGGTATCACCTTTGTGAATGAAATCCCTATATCTACCTAAGGGCTGGACGGTAAAACAGACAAACATGTATTTCTTTCTCTGTGCTTCATAGCTTCTCTGTGTTTTCCGCAGTTCTGTTTTTATCTATTGGAGGAGAATGGCCCAAAGGGAATCATATTATTCATGTAATTTGGCCATGACTTTGTATCTACCAGCAGTGTATATTAGGCATGAAATGCTCCCTAATCTACCTTTCTTACTTTTCTTGCTCTTTTTTCTTCCCTCTCTACATTTCATTTTAAATGCATATTTATTGAGCAAATGATCATATACATAGCATAGTTCTAGGCATTTTTCTTTAATAGGAAAAGAACAGTTATTATCTATAAGGCAATTTGAGGATATGTGTAAAGCAGCCATCGACAGTTTAAACACTGAGGGGATGAAGGAATGATAAAGGTGGAGGAGCAGGCCACAGAGGGTGTGGCCAATTTAAGATGGGTTTTTAGCCAGTTCTTGGAAGATGCCTTAGAAATCATTTAGTGAGAGAAGGAAGTAAGTGGAAGAATTGTGGGAAGTTAGATGAGAGGCAGCTAGCAAAGTACACACAATACAAATTGAGCTCAGAAAGAAGAATAAAATTCCAGAAATGTTTATTAAGTAGTGACTCTGCCAACACCACCCCATGACTTTAAAATAGAATAGGAGCTAGGCGCGGTGGCTCACACCTGTAATCCCAGCATTTTGGGAGGCCAAGGAGAGTAGCTCACGAGGTCAGGAGATCAAGACCATCCTGGCTAACACAGAGAAACCCTGTCTCTACCAAAAACACAAAAAATTAGCCAGGCATGGTGCTGGGCACCTGTAGTCCCAGCTACTCAGGAGGTGGAGGCAGGAGAATTGCTTGAACCCGGGAGGTGGAAGTTGCAGTGAGCCGAGATTGCGCCACTGCACTCCAACCAGGGTGACAGAGCAAGACTCCATCTCAAAAAAACTAAATTAAAATAAATAAAAAAAAAATAAAATAGGAGACCTAATTTCTTTCCCTAAATTACTGATAGTATGGTGTGGGTAGTTTAGCACACTTTTGCTAACAAACTTGAAACTCCACATGTTCTTTATAATAGATTTAACAAAAATGTTAGAAAGTGGTAAGATTTCTCCAGTGAACCATCATCTCCAAATTACTGACTTACGTTGCTTCAAGACTAGTCTCTAACTTTGACACCGTAGTACCAAGCTTCTGATACACAGTATTTTTCTTTAATGTGGATGGCTAATAGCAAGAGAGGAGTTGAAGGGGTTAACCTACTTCTAGCAACCCCATTATGTGAACTTGAAAAATGACTGTAGAGGATATTTTGGTTTCAGTTTATGGAGACGGTTTCCATAATGGCTTCCTAAATGCCACTCCCAGTATGTGGCCCCAGATGCATCTGGACAGCTAATGAAAGAAGGACTTGGTGAGACATAAGACCTGTCACACGGCTCTTAGCATCGCTCTGAGCTGGGTTCTCTCCAAGCCCAGCTGCAGAGTTTGTCTGCTCAGCTTTTGGACCCCCTGTGTGTGTCTAATCTTGAGCAAGATATATTTATCTCAAATGCTAAGAGATCTAGCTCAGAGACGGAGCAAAGACCCAACATGTAGAGTTCAAGTGTTAATCCAAAGAGGTCAACTTTCTCACCCGTACATTCTTAAAACTGCAGACATGTGTCTTTTCCACCAGGCTGCGGTTTTTCACAAGGGCAACAATTTGAAATTAGTAATATAGAATAAGTTAAACATTAAAAATAAGTTGTTTTTCTTTGACCAAATTCCTAGAGGTGATGGTGGTAGAGGGGACAGAATAACATTTAATAAGGACCTATTCCTCTCTGCCAGGATATTATGCGTACTATCACACTAATTTGTCAAAGCATGTATTTCAAGGCAAGAAAGAAGGAGGCTCCTTCATTTTTATGTAGGAAAACAGAATCAGAAGGACTACGTTGACCAAGATCTCAGTTAAAAAGAGGCAGTACTAAGTATCTAAATTCTTTATAAGAGAGTCTGAATTCTCAGAAGAGAGAATACTTATAAAGAGAATATTATGTGTGTTTTCTCTGTATAAAATTCAATCTTTTCCCACGATATCACCCTGCTTTTCATCTATATTATCAAGTTATCATTAGAACAGACTTATTTTACATTGTGCATAACAGGTTGATTTTCCAGGTTAGTTTTACTACCATTCAAGGTAATTCAAATATTATTCAAATTCTTTCAGATAGTAGTAAAAAAACCAGGAAATGCTCCTCAACTCATTTTGTAATTATTGTACCAGACAATGATCATACAGAAAATAGAAGTTACCATCTAATATAAATCATGAATATAGATGTAGAAATTCTTTACAAATTATTTTAGCAAATGATGTATAGTATAAAAAGATAATGTAACAAATAGCATAATTTATCATCATTTTGAATTATTCCAAAGAAAGCAAGTTTGCTCTAATATTACAACTATATGCTTATTAGATGATGAAAAAGCATTAAATAAAATTTAACATCCATTCATTCAAAGAAACTCTTAGCAAATTAAAAAGAAATGAACAATTATTTTATCTCATGAAAGGTAGCTAAGAGAAACCTGCAAACACATGCTTGTGGGTGCAATATTAGAAGCATTTCCCTGAAAATCAGAAATAAGATAAGGATGCTTATGGAACAAAACTGTCATTAGTTGATGATAATATTTTTGTCCCATAAAAAACAGCCTCTGATGATCTAAAGACAAATTATTAGAATTAATAAAGGAATTTGGCAGAGTTGCTGAATTTAAACTTAGTATTTTAAAAATTGAATTTGTAAATGCCATTGATAAGCATTTAGAAAATGCAATGATAAAAAAAAAAAAGATACCATTCACATTGAAGAGCAAATAACCAAGAATAGCCAAAAACACTCTTGAAAAGAACAGGGTGGAGAAACATGCCCTATGTGATATTTTTAAAGCCATGCTAATTAAGTCAGTGTACCAGCTGTACAGAGAGAAAAATAGACTGCTAGGCTAGATTAAAGAACTGGAAAACCCACCCCTGCACATGTGAAACTTGGTATAAGATAGAGTCTGCATGTTGGCGGGGAAATCGACCATGATGATGGGACAATTGATTATCCCTTTCAAAGAGATGAAATTAGATTCCTACCTCACATCATACATTAAAAAAAAGTTCCACGATGACTAAGACTTAAGTGTAAGATGCTTAAATATTTAGAGGTCTAGAGGCAGAAAAGGTGAAAGGTTAATAAGAGAAAAGCATAACAAAATTATTTAATCAAAGTTTTATGTGACAGAGAAGCCTTCAGAAATGAAGACCCAAAGACTTAGGGAAAACTGTTTTTGTGCTTAGGTTGAATGAGGAATGGACAGCTCTGTAGACATCTGAACAAATAGTAATAAACTGGGGGTGGGGACTCAGCAAGGCCTGTCTGTGTTGATTCTTCCTGGTCTCTCTGTGCAGCATTCCCTCCTTCTGGATATGGGGCAGGAGAAGGCAGAACTGGTGACAGCGATCACATCGGTTTCTAGGGCTATTCGCACTTCCTTACACCCTTCCCTAGGAAGAGTGAGGTGTAAGCGAGGCCTGGTATCGCAAATGGTACAAGAGATTGTAAGAGTTCATTTGCCATGATGTAAAAATGGATTTTTATTTTAGTGGTCTCATTCTATTTCAATATACATTAGAAAAAATATTACCAGCATATCAAAACCCTGATTCACAATAATAATACAAATTTATTTTAAAATCTCATGAAATTTTGCCATCGTTCCAAAAGCTGTGGCTTTGATGAGGTAGCTAAAGATGGGGACAAAGTTTCATCCATGTTTCCATCTCTAGAACGAGACTGGCAAGTTCAAATGCCCCGCGGGAGCAGACAAATCACTCTGGGACATGGGGTAGGAGGGGAAGGACTGGACAACCTGCCCAGCCTGTGCCCTCTCTGCATGAGGTACAGCTGTTCATCTCAAGCTGGGTGTGACCCTTGGGGCAATTCAAGGCTGCTGCCAACCAGATTAATCTCTTTCCAGAAAAGTTAAAAACTCAGATTTTTTTTTTTTGGTGAAACTCCACGATTTTGAAACATTGGCAATGAATGCAAATATTTAAATCTAAACACTGCAGATCTGCCCACTCATTCGCAGTCACACGGTAGGACCTGGCATGGCATCCTGCACTCAATCCTGGACACCTCATAAGTCTTTGCTGAGGTAATGAATGATGTCTTAATCTCTCTGCCAATATCTGAGGAGGTTCATTAAAAAATGGCTGGACAGTTAGAATGGCGATCATTAAAAAATCTGGAGACAACAGATGCTGGAGAGGATGTGGAGAAATAGGAACACTTTTACACTGTTGGTGGGAGTGTAAATTAGTTCAACCATTGTGGAAGACAGTGTGGTGATTCCTCAAGGCCTTAGAAATAGAAATTCCATTTGACCCAGCAATCCCATTACTGGGTATATATCCAAAAGACTATAAATCGTTCTACTATAAGGACACATGTACACGAATGTTCATTGCAGCACTGTTTACAATAGCAAAGACCTGGAATCAACCCAAATGCCCATTGATAATAGACTGGATTGGAAACATGTGGCACATATACACCATGGAATATTATGCAGCAATCAGAAATGATGAGTTTGTGTCGTTTGTAGGGACATGGATGAATCTGGAGAACGTCATCCTCAGCAAACTGACACAAGAACAGAAAATGAAACACCGCATATTCTCACTCATAGGTGGGTGATGAAAAATGAGAACACATGGACACAGAAAGGGGAGTACTAAACACTGGGGTCTATTGGGGGGAAAAGGGGAGGGCCAGTGGGAGGGGGAAGCTGGGGAGGGATAGTCTGGGGAGAAATGCCAAATGTGGGTGAAGGGGAGAAGGAAAGAAAAGCACACTGCCATGTGTGTTCCTACACAACTGTCTCGCATGCTCTGCTCATGTACCCCAAAACCTAAAATCCAATAAAAAATTAAAAAAAAAATGGCTGGAAATTCTTTTCTGTTCTTCCCACTGAGAGGCAGGGCCTATGTCCTCTCCCTTGTTCTAGGTAAGCTCTGACTTCTTGACCAATTGGTTGTGGTGCAAGTGACACCGTGCTGCGTACAGAGAACGGAAGCTTCCACTTCCAGCCTCTTGTCACTTGTGAGGGGAGCCAGCTCCATGAACAACTTCCCTGACCCTGCCATCCTGGAAAGACCAGGTGCAGGTGCTCTAACTAGCAATCCCAGCTGAGCTCAGCCTCCTGACCACCCCTGCCAAGGTGTCAGACCTATGAATGATGTTGCCTTCCACTCTGCAGAACAGCCCATCTGCCAGCTGAGGACTTCCCGTATGTACTTCATGCCTTGAAGAACAGAGGAACTGCCCAGTTGAGCCCTGTGTGAATTCCCGACCCAAACGATTGTGAGGGATAATAAAACATTTGTTGGATTAAACGAGTGTTGACGGAGTTCGTTATGCATTCATAGATAACTGAATACTCTAAACTTCATTGAGCTTCTGATTTATCTATGTATCGCTCTCAGCTAATGAACTTCCTTATGGTTTGCTTTGAAGAAGGAAACAGAAGCTGTCTTATAAATTCCGTATGCATTATCTGCAGGAAAATGAAGGCTGGATAAATGTGGAAGAAAAGAACAGTCACCAAAGGGCACAATGTTTGAGCCCAAACTGTATATACAAGGTTTGGGCTTTGGTTTCTCAATGCGTTAATAATTTGGCCAGGAAGAACTATGAGGCTATTTAATTACTTTTTAAATTCTTCTCTCTAGAGTAACCAGGGAGCTTGTTTGAGCAAGTCCACTTGACTGTGGACTATAAGATATTCAGACAGATGCATGGTCTGTGAGTGAGGAAAATCCAGATTTTATGCAGTAGGTCTGAAGTCACTATATAACCTGACTGTCATCCATCAAGAATATTGATGTACACTGTTGGCAGAGCTGGGAATCTTTAAATCAGCTTTAAATCCTAAAGCTGTGATGCTTTAGGAGCATCACAGTTTAGGAGAGGCGCTGGTCCCCCTGGAGAAACTCAGATACTTTACTCCAATAGAAAAGGCCATTTCTAGAAAACAAAACGTGAGAGGTTAGAAAATGGAGAAATCCCCCGGAAAAAAGAATAGGATGCCCAAGATAGAGGTCTAGAGGAATTTGTGTACAACTCAGTGGAGCTCTGAGAGGAACAATGGTTGGAATTTTAAGGTACAGCAGTATTAAGAGGCCCGGAAGAGTGAGATTAAGAGTTTATACAGGGTGTTTAAGCATTGGCATGAGCCACAATGATAAAATTGAGCTCTATCCTCTCCATACTGTTCCAGATGGGCAGGACAGGCATTCATCTGGAAAGTGACGTAGCTGACTCCTGGACTCCCTGAGGGACAAAGGTTGATCAGTGTAAGAAGGGTTTTCCACAGGCACTGGAGGATGCCACTTACACTGTCCTTCACATTAGTAGGAACTCTTCCTGGACTGTAGAGAGCTGAGATTATAAGTGTACCAAAATCTCCTTTGGAGTGTTAGAGAGCTGAGATTATGAGTGTAACTAAATATTTTAAAAATATGATTGGGACTATAAAGAGAAATAAATGCAAAGTCCCTCTGGTAAGGAACCTGGGGAGAGATGTAGCAGTGGTAAGAAGCCTTTACAAAGCAAAAGCAACACTCGGCCAGTCAACTGCCGGGATCTACTGCCATGTTATCTCATCAGCGGGGACAGCAGCAGCTGCAAAATAGGGCTGCCTGGAGGTGGGCAGAGGCTGTGCTGTTGGTGGAGAGAGGAACTCAAAACCTTTCAAGAACATGTTAGATGCTGTAATTTCCAAGATCAATTTCATGGCCCTGCATCATCTCCTACGTGAAAGCCACTGTCCTGAGTACACGTAAATGAGCAATACCATTACCCTCAAGAGGCTGATAGTCTGGTTTAAGGAAAGGTCACATGCATAAGTTTGATGTTGTACAGTAAATATTGTGAGAAAGAGATGTTCTGGAAGTTACAGGGACACAAAGGAGAAACACACAATCCAGCCTGGGGTTTAAGTCCGGAGAGGATGAAAGAGAGAATGACTGGACTGAATTTTGAGACATTAGTAGGAACTGGCTAAGCAAGGGAGTCGCTAGGAGAGTTTCTGGCAGAGAACACAGTATTAGCAAAGCTACTGAGGTGTGAAATAGGGCCGCATGGGACATGGGATACAAACTGTTTTCCGAGTGTAGAGTTCAAGGTGAGTGGACGAAGCACAGTGGGAGAGGAGACTGTGATTCTGGGAGCATTTGGCTCCCAGGACCAGTAAAGAGTTGGTTGCAGGTAGATCAGTGACATGGATGGGTTTGTATTTTAGAGGAAATATCCTGATAACAACACGCATTGATTTGTGGGTTCAGAGGAGGAAAAACTAAAAGAGAGATAAATAAAGAAGCTATTTTCACTCAGCAAGATTTAAAAAGACCCACACAGGGTCAAGTTGGTATTGGTGGAAAGAAGAAAAAGATTAAAATCAGAACCAGACGGTCAATTTGGCCAGACTCATAATGGATGGAATTTATGGGAAAGTGGGAAGTCCAGTTAGACTCTTGGGTTTCTAAACTGGGCAACTGTGTGGCCTGTGCTGCCATTCTTTGAACTTGGAGGCACAGGACGGGGAGCAGTCTTGGAGAAGCTTGGCGAAGTGTAGTATTATGTCAGCAGTTACACTGGTGGAAGCTCAGAATTTTTTTTAAAAGATAAAATTTTAAATATTATTTTTAACCTTATTCATTTTTGCCCATTCAGGAAAGGCCTGCTAAAACAAGGATTACACAATGTTATAATATATTTTTAAATAGAGTAATAGAACTCTCTATTAGGAACTTAGCCATGTCCAAATGGCATGTATTTGAAACACAGTAAGTTATGTGTCGTATCTAGCAGAGGGCCTGGAATACTACTCAGTGACAATAAATGCTCTTTTTTTCCCTGGCCTGGACATAACAAAATACTTCCGAACAGCCAGTGTCATAAAATCCAAGTATTACAGCTCATGGGTTTGGAAAGTGTAAAGTGCTCATAAAATTCCCTAATCCCTCACTCAGCATCTCTACTCACCTTTGCTTTAGCCTAATAGGAAAAGAGAAAGCATAGAAACAAAACCACAAAAAACTATAGATTTGAAAGAAAAAGAGGCAAGCACACGCCCAGTAGTGAGCAATGACGACTAAAGAAAGCGAACAGTTTAAATATAGAAAAAGCAACCAAGAAATGGGAATTCCAGGGCAGGGGCTAACAGCTAGAGGCCACACTAAGCCTTGAACACAGAACGAAATGGACATAGTGTTGACCCTGTATTCTTAAGACATGGCAAATTGTGTTTCATGTCCTTTTTCAGTTAAGAAAGTGATTCTATCTTTGCTTAAGACAGATTTCCATTAAAAACTGGGGGCTGGACACACCTATCTATCATGGCACCCAATGATCCCATCCATGTGAAGCTGCTTCATTCAGCTGCTTGGGTGGAAAGTAGGGTTGCCAGATGAAATATAGGACAGTCAGTTAAATTTGAATTTCAGATAAACAAGTAATTTAAAAAGGATTCCCAAATATTGCATCCTGCATTTTTATTTGTTGAATCTGGCAGTCCTTGGAGAGAACAGCCTAATGTAAGTATAGATCATGTTCTATACCACAGGATCTTGCCCCTTTCCATCAAGGGACAAAATACCACCAGGAAACAAAGCAGAACAGTGAAAAAGCTGACTGGACTACAGTGACTTGACGTAAAAAGTGACCTGGTATGAAAAACCTCTCTGCTTAAGTAGTGACAATCGTGGTTTGTTAGGTCCCTGTAATTTGACTTGAGAATCAGAAATCAGAAGGATGTTAGAAGCAGCACACACACATGCATGCACGCACACATGCGCACATTACACGCGCACATGCACACCCATGAGCACATGCACACACACATGCACGTGCACACACATGCGCACATTACACGTGCACATGCACACCCATGAGCACATGCACACACGCACACACATGCACGTGCACACACATGCACACACATGCACGCACACATGCGCACATTACACGCGCACATGCACACCCATGAGCACATGCACACACGCACACACATGCACGTGCACACACATGCACACACATGCACGCACACATGCGCACATTACACGCGCACATGCACACCCATGAGCACATGCACACACACATGCACGTGCACACACATGCGCACATTACACGTGCACATGCACACCCATGAGCACATGCACACACGCACACACATGCACGTGCACACACATGCACACACATGCACGCACACATGCGCACATTACACGCGCACATGCACACCCATGAGCACATGCACACACGCACACACACATGCACGTGCACACATGCATGTGCACACACATGCGCACATTACACGCGCACATGCACACCCATGAGCACATGCACACACGCACACACACATGCACGTGCACACACATGCACACACATACACACGTGCGCGCGCGCACACACACACACAACCCCACAAAGCAGCAACAGCCAAGACGGGCTCTGAGTAAGTCAAAGCTGTGAGCAAGGCAATGTGACAATGGACTAGAAACTATGAGCATTTATTCATTTCTTTATCCATTCACTCACAAATTTATTGAGGTAGAGAAAGAATGCTGAGCCCAGCGAAAAGCATAAAATAGATGACGAATAGAGGCAGGGACAGAAGAAACAGCCTTAAAAGGCTGAATATCCTCAGTGAAAGAAAATTATGAAGAACCTACTGTCAAGGGAGTGAGGGAGTGGGTTCTGTTCTCTTCAATCACTGAGTTTCCTGCCTGCCTTAATATCTCTATGCCTTAATGTAAACTCTTTGCTTGAGGTAATGGGTTGTTGCTCTCTGTCTCTTAAAACAAAAGACACCCATGGATGCCTAAGGATGAAATGAAACCAGTTTTAGTTCCGGAGGGAGCAAACCCTCCACGGTTGGAAAACAGTTTCCCAGGGACAGAGTCTGAGATAGCAAGGACTTCAGTACACTGGATTATTATTTGTTTGCTGTTTAAACAATATATTTATAAGGCCAACCTTCTCCAGAGATGAGGCAAGAAATTAAAGTGCTACTTTCTTGATCAGATTCATTAAATTCACCCCCAGCATGGGTCTTTAGATTGGCAGTGTTTACTGGATGAGTAAGAGACTGGGCCCAGGGTATGCTGGAGTCCAACAGTTGGCCCCAAAGAATTCAGTGTGCTCAGCCTTCTTTTTTATCTTCCTGCCCTTCCCCTTTTCCTGAGGGATTTTACGATTAGGAAATCGAGGCTACGTTAGGTTGCAGTGACATTTTCTTTGTGTTTTTATCAGAAACATTTTCGACTCTTAAATTTTTTTTGTTAGAGACGTGACTATGAGGAAGGACGTTGAATTTTCCTTCTTTGGGGTCTAAAGC